TGGTTCTGTCAACTGAAAGCAAATTAAGTCAATTATCAGAAAAGAGCAGTGCGTAGTTTCATGAAAGAGAACACATTTGATGCTTATTGTGACATCCTGTACCACTTCCTTGCTCCAAAACTCCAAGAAACAAAAATACCATTTCAAAAGTACTGAAAAATTACTCTTGAAACTGACATAAGCCCAATGGGCCATGCAAGAAAATATAATGATACTTATTAACACATATTTTAACTGGCCACATCTGATAAAGCTAATACTGCTTTAGCATGATATATGAATTTCAACAAGAAACTTTTCAAATGTTAATTTCAAATCATTTTAACTATCACTCAGAAAATATTAACATGAAGATACTCTTGTAAACACAACTATGCATCTGTAATGCATAAAATGTAACTGTAGATGATTACCTTTTTAAACATACACATTATTTAGCACTCTATGCATAATTGAAATACACATTATTCTAATTACATCAGTAAAACTATTTTAGGAATATTTACTTTTGTTGAAAATTCCTATTATATGTAATATTTTGGGATATATTATGTGACCTTATAATAATATTTTGTACATTATTAAATAACTAAATTTATGTTATTACTAGGCACGCAAAACCTTGCATACATTATATTATTGCACCTAAAACTGAATATGCATAATTCAGGTACAAACTACACATGCAAGAGATCACTTATATACACTGCTGGCCACCCAAATTGCCACACCAAGAAAGACAAGCGATATCACAACAAAATTTATTTAGTAGATAACATGTTGACAAAGTATCAAATGATTAAATTTATAGACTTCTCTGAAGTGTGGTCAAGAGACTTTGGTTCTTGGGGTACAGCAAACCAAGCAGCTTCCACACGTTTCCAAAGTTGATCTGGTGTGGCAGCTTGGGATGTAATCTGGGTCAATCGTTCAGTAACCATGGACCACATGTTTTCTTTCGGTGAAAGATCCAGAGAGCGAGCCGGCCACGTAAGCAATTCAATCTGGTGATTGACAAAGAACCTTTGGACAATGCATGTAACGTGTGGTCGTGCATTATCCTGTTGAAATATGGCTGTGGGCAAGCCCTATTGGTAAGAAAGGACAACTGGCTCCAACACCTCGGAGATGCAGCGCTGGCTGTTTAAAGTACCGGCAATGCGTACTAGAGGAGTGCGAGTGTTATCCAATACCATCCCATACCATGATAACCGGTGCAGGACCAGTGTGGTGGTGCATAACGCAGCTGTCCAAAACCCTCTCTCCACGGTGTCTCCAGACTCGAATACGACCAACGTGGTGTTGCAGTTAGAAGTGCGACTCGTCAGTAAAGACAATTTCATTCCATTCTACTGTACACATCCTTCTTTCATCACACCATTGGCGGCGGAGACGTCTGCGTCAAGAGTAGACTAGCGGTCAGACCACTCTGCTGTAAACAGCATAGAATGGTACGGGCAGACGCTGGATGATGCGTTACAGACTGAATGTGCTGTGCTATGCTTTGTGATGTGACTGAGCGATCCGTCACTGCCATGCGTACAATCTTCCTGTCATCACGTGAAGTGGTGCACTGAGGTGGATGCGATCAAACACGTCGATCAGTGGTACCCTCCTGCATCCAACGGTCACATATCTGCATTACAATTGCTTGGTTTGTTCAACACAAATACTGATTTCCCTGAAAGATAATCCACACTCTTAGTGGGCCACTATGCTTCCTCTGTCGAACCCAGATACTTGATCAAATGATGATGATCGCTGTTTACTATAAGGTATAACTGATTTTTTTTTTTTTTTTTTTTTTTTTGAAAAAACCACAAGAAAAACACAACTGCCAAACTTGAAATCGAACTTGAAAACTCCAAGCCTTAAGCGCTTTGAAGTGGCGCCAGAGGCACGTGTGATGTGTGACTGTACTGAAAATCTAATCATGTACATATCTCGCTTCCGCTAATGCATGCTGTAAATTTCATGTTATTTGCATGCTTCCTTCAGGATGCTGCATTTACGGTGGCCAGCAGTGTACCTCAGACTGTAGAAAGATTTCTATTTAACCCTAAATATTTATACTTATTTAAACTAGTTTTTAAAGCTAGTTTACAAACAAATACATGGTGGTCATAAAAAAAGCAGCAACCTCTCTGCTGAACCAATCAAAATGAAATTTCGGACATTGTTATTTGAAAGTATGCACTGAGATTGTGATGCTTCAAAACAATATAGCTCTTAGGTTACAGTTACGGTGAAAAATATTTCAAAATGTACAAAAGGCAACACCCACTTTTCCCTTGCACAAATTGATTAGCGTATGAAAAAACTATAAACATCATTAGAATTTTACATGTAAGATGAAAATTGCAGGTGTAAAACATTTGCAAAGAAGATCACTATAAAGGACCAATGACAACACAGAGAGAAGGTGCATTGATATATTTTACAGAATTCAAAGAAACAGAGTACAAATACCAATCTCAGAACACCATGGGGAAAACCTTTGCAGTCTCGGAAGATTGTTTCTGTACTCAGGTGTACAAGCTTGCTAACAAGATGACACTCAGAAGGAACAACAATGTGAAGCAGAATGATAGAGATATCACATGACACAGATAAACAACTCCATACAAAAAGTATTTCCATTTCTAGCTCAGATTTAACCCTCTCCAGACAAGAAATAAAATCTTACTCATGTGATTGTATAGCTGATTTACCATGCATATGCAGCAGCCATTTGAAATGGATTAAATTAGCTCAGTTTTTAAAGCCCACTTGGGTGTTGTTCAAAAGTCCATAACCCTATGATATTCTTCAGATATATGAAACAGGCTTCACAGACACATTAGAATTACATGTTTGAATGTGACTGAAATGTTACATGGTCGAAAGACATGACTTTGTTCTTTAACAAAACCCGAACAAAAATCATCATTTAAAACTTCAATAGCCTTGCTTTAGTGCCCATGTCATTTCAAATTCATTAGAATGTATCTTAATTTTCCATTGCTAACTCTACAGATGTAATGTGGAAAACTACATTCAACCAGAGTATCCACGCCTTCAGAGTATCAGTAGTGTGGCTCAATCCTAAACAAGAGATAGCTGTCCTTCTTTGTAACATTAACCAAGATGCTGTGGAATCTATTTCATCTACAAGCAGACTGATATATGTAATCTAGAAGTTATGAAAAGGCACCTTTTTTCCACATAATACAATTTATAACACTGAACTAGAAGACAGTGGAGAGATGACACAAGCTTACATTTCTTGCAGAAGCTTTTTAACCTCTTGCTTGGAAAAGTTGGACCAACATATAATTTAATCAGTCGGTTCTTCCTGAACTTATTTGCTGCTTCTTAAATCTCATGCAGCCCATAACTGTGGATGAATTTGAAAAGACATTTTAAAATCCTTTATAAAAGTTTCTGCAGCATTTAGTCTACTGCTACAGGCATTCACAGACTCTAAGACTGTTTTTAATCAATTTTCTCTAAAAACACTCAGGTAATATTGGTGATAGGTATGTGATAGACTTTCATACTTCCTTTCCAAATACCTGTTCACTTGTTTGGACAGGTACTATCAACCTACATGTAGTGCAACTATCAGCTTTCTTTTAAATCCCCGATTAGAGGTATGTAAAACAATAGGATTATTTGAAAGTTGTATGTTTTTGCTATGCTTTAAATTAAAGCATACTTTTGTTAAAGGATAGTAATATCACCTTTAATTATCATACAACAGCAGACTTCTTTATCAGACACCAAGTCACAATACATCTTCAATACGAAAATCATTCTTTATCTTCAGGCAAAATTCCCATTACATAAGAAAATTGAGAACATTTCAATCCAAGTTCCCATCCATACAGAATATAAACTTCATGTAATCTTCCAGTTTTGAGGTTTCAAACATTCTCTCTCCCTTTATGATACAGCATAAAGCATGAGACTATATAGTGAAGTTAAAATAATATATGATTTCTAACTTTTAAAATATGAAGCTTTTAACTACTCAACTGTTTTGCCCGAACACTGTTCGGGTGCCGCGAAAAGGGACTTTGTTTATTTATCCTTTCACAGCAAATTCACTTCTTTCACATTTATTTGCCTGTATACCACTCGGGCAGTGCATTTTCCTACACCAATCCACTGTTTTCTCACATTTTTTACTTTGCAGTGTTTCTATTAGATGTCTCTAGCAGTTCAGGAGAGACTGGATTGTAAAATCAGTTTAAGGATATATTTTACTGTTTTTCATTTCAAGTGGTATACAAAGAAACTCAACGAGTTTATTTGCACTGTTCAGTGTATTAGGCTTTGCGAATGGTATTTCTTCCCAATTTTGCCATGAAATAAAAGAACGATGGGTAACAGTAAACGGCTCACAAGAAAATACAATTCTGATATTGGATCAGATAGTGAATCTTAATTTTCTATAAATGATCCTGGTAGTCCTGAAAGTTGATGAAGAAATGGAAAGTTTTGATGATCCAATTCAGGTTTGGAACTTTTTTGAAATGGATACTAGTAATCCTCCTCCACCACTGCCACATTTTCCTGTCACAGCAAAGTCACTTCTTTCACATTTATCTCCTGTAAAGTGTTGTTTCCAGTTCTGCAGTTTTGTCAGAAAAAAGCCAACTTTAAGTAAAAATGTCTTAATTTTGTTGTAATTAAAAATTATCTTATATTAATAAATGCAATACTTGTAACAGTTTTGACTGCTGATTTGAATTCATATAACCGATTAAAATATAAAATTGTTTATAAAAAATGCGCTTATTTTTGGAAACAATATGGCAGGAAAATGAAACAGTTAAGGTAATTTTTAACATCCAAAATTTTACTGTGCAATCCATTTTTGTATAAAAATGTGAAAAAAAAATCTAATTTCTTCACCAGTTTTGTCTCCTAATTTTGAAAACTGCAACAATTAAATACTTATGCAAATAACAGATAGATATCTACCGTCAAAACATAACTTTCTAAAATATACTTACGCATTGGAAATTTGTATGTAAAAGGCATAGTCAAAGGAGTGTGTAGCAAAATTCTGAAGACATGATGAACTAAGCACTCCATAGATAAAGCATTCATGCCCATGAGGAAGATTACTAGAAAAAATATTTTTTAAATTTCTATGAACAGCAGTCTCCCGCATTGAAGGATATACAGGAACATGTCGCCTGAATCGATACCAACCAACTACTGCCTAAAAATAAACAACACATATTACTTTTTAAAGTCTCAAAAAACACTATTTTAGGCAGTCATATATAAATTATAAGACTGTGTATGACTAATGTTCTACTTTAAATAACAAACAACATCTGCTTGTAATAAAGTCAACGAGATAATACCTATGAAAAAACTATTATATTTAACTAAATTAGGTTTATATTAAAATGAAGCAGATTCCTATGATTAACTTAAATCTAATTTTTTTTATAAATTTATAGTTTTGAAATTTTTTAACAATGTACATGCTTTAGTACATGCAATATAAACTTTCCATATATACCTTTTTTCGTTCACCAAGGCAAGATTCTAAATCAGATTCTCGCACTTTTCCACTGGAGTTATAGAAGGATAAAAAATTACCACAAGGCACAGAAGAGTAAATACCTAAGGAAGAAAATATATAATGTTTACTTCCAAGAAAGAAATACAGTGGTACCTTGAGATACGAGTGCCCAACGAGTTGTTTGAGGTACAAGCAGTCACTAGATCTAGTTTTTTACCTGAGTTACGAGTCAAAATACAAGCTATTGGCAATGATATCATAGCAGTTGGCGAAGCTCAAGACTCACAAATATGACTATCAAACAGATTTGCAAGCCTTCCACATGCTGAGATGTCACCACTACCCAGACTCACCCGCTATTTCAACTCACCTTGTCGCAGAAGCATTTCTATCATTTTGTTTTCTTATTGGCACAGACAATAATTTAGCTGATTTATCTGTCATATAACCACACGTCCCATGAAGAAGAGTGTAAAGAATAATGGGGGGAAGTGATATCTATGGAATTAAAGCTGAAATAACAGACAAATATCAGCAAGGCTTATTAAAGACTTTGTAATGCAGTATGACCATAGAACTTATATGATACGAGGGTTGGGGCCAAAGTCATGGCAACTATTTTTTTCTTGTAGATAGGTAAGCGGATCACAAAACGTATATGTGTCGTGGGGAAGTTCTGCAGGCATAGTGTGTATGCAGAACAACACATGGCTCTGTGATAGCTGGCTCTGTGGTAGCGAGGGCTCTGAAATCAGTCAGTTAGTGAGTGTCGTGCGAGATGGAAGTAACCTGTGTTGAGCAGCGCGCTTACATCAAAATAGCCGTTCTCCAATGGAGAAATGCTATGGAATGTCACAGTGAATTAGTAGAAGCCCTTGGGAATAATGCCCTACCATATCGTACAGTAACACGGTAGGTAGGAAAGTTTCAGCAAGGACGTGTGTTAACCAGTGATGAGCAACGTTCAGGACAAACCAGTGAGTGTGCGTATTTGGCACGTGCCGTCATCGAGCACCTCATGGATGAAGACAGACGATGTACGTTACTGGAGTTAGAGAGGGCAAGTGGCATCGAGAAACGCACCGTCCACAGGATATTGCGTAATGAGCTACACCTATGCAAAATCGCTTCACGGTGGGTACCGCATGCACTGACGGAAGTTCAAAGGTGGGTGCGCTATGCAATATGCTCCGAGCACTTTGCACGCTGGCAACAGGACAGCGATCAGTTCTTGTCACGAATAATCGCCATCGATGAATTTTGGGCTAGGGCATACGAACCAGAACTGAAACATCAGTCTGCGGAGTGGAGACATACTGGATCACCAAGGCAGCAGAAGGCCCATCAGAATCCTTCTCCAGTCAACTTGATGGTGATTGTCGCGTATGACGTCAGGGGTGTCACTGTTTGCCACTTTGTTCCTCATGGCAGAACAGTGAACGTACAGTATACTACAGGGACTTCCTCATACGACGTGGCGTTCGGGATAAACATCCAGATCTTGTGGACAGTGCAATAACTCTGAACAACATGCAAGACCACATAAAGCAGAGTGTGTATGTATGGCAGCTACACCGATGTTGGGGATGGGAAGAATTGGAGCACCCACCGTACTCTCCTGACCTTTTGCCCTGTGACTTTGATCTCATTCCCAAGATTAATGAACCAATACGCTGCTGTGCGCCAACAGATGACCCAATTCACACATGGTGCGGCAAATGCTGAGGCTTATGGTATTCAGCGCCTCCCACGTCGTTGGCAGCGTGTGGTGACAGTAGCAGGAGACAACATTGAGGGTCTTTAGTCCCAGGTTTGTCATTTCAACTTTATGTGTATAGTGTTATCATTCTTTTGCACGGTGAAGGCCATATTACCCTGTATACTACCATAATAAATTTGTGTGTTACGATATTTTAGTTCTATTCATTGTCCACACATGCAGTTAAGACCTTGTCCTTTCGTATGTATATGTCCCATTTTACAACCGGACTGGTATTTTCAAGAAAAAAAATTGCTGCCATGACTTTTGCCCCAACCTACGTATATACTATTCAGAAGCTCATATAATAAAGGCTTCTGATAAAGAAGCTCAAGATAAGTGCATTAAAATTATTTCAAAGCTTCACAACTCTCTCTGTCCATGAAAAGATGGAGTATCAGCTGTTCTTGTGGTTAACAGAGAAGCAACTCGCTGAAGACACTATGATAGAAATTATAATTTGGGAGAAGGCATGAGTCATTTACGCAGATTTTCTGCAGCACAGCCCAGGTACAGGAAGCTTAAAAAGAGTAATTCAAAGCCAGTTGAGGGTGGTTCGAAAACTTTCAAAAAAGGAATGGCATTCACTCCACTGTCAGGCATGGTGAGGCAGTAAGCAGTAATTGTAAATCAACTGAGTTTGTAAAATCATTTGCTGGATTGGTTGAAGCCAAAGGATATACTCCCAACAAGTGTTCAACTGTGACAAGACAGGGCTCTTCTGGAAGAAAATGCCAAGCAAAACTTACATAATGGCAGAAGAAAATCCCATGAAAGATAAGAGATGCCCATGAAAGATAAGATGATTCTCGCACTGTGTGCAAATACAAGTGGCGACTGCAAGATCAAGTTGTTGCTTATATACCACTCAGACAACCCCAGAGCTTTCAAGATGCATAAAGTTCTAACAGAGAAGCTACATGTTATGTGGAAGGCAAACTCAAAGGTATGGGTCACAGAAAGTTTTCTGTGGAGTGGATCAACCTGGTCTTTAGTCCGACATTAAAAAATACCTCAAGGTCTATAACTTATGCGTGAAAGTCCTTCTCGTCCTTGGCAATACTGCTTGCCACTTACTAAACCTTGAGAATGACATCCTTAAGAAGTTCAGCTTTGTAAAGATTCTCTTCCTTCCACCTAACACTACATTCCTACCCTACAGCCCATGGACCAATAGATGATCTTCAATTTCAAGAAACTTCTTACCAAACACATATTTCAACACTGCTTTGAGGTTAAGAGGAGCGCAAACCTCACCCTTTGAGAGTTCTGGAAGGATCATCCTAAAACTGTAATATGCCTCAAAATTATTGATTGCAGGTTGTTGCAAAAAGGAGGTTGACCTCTCCATGGAAAAAGCTGCGATCTGATGTTGTAACTAAAAGGGACTTCATAGGATTTAGACCCAAACAGGAAGTACTGGAGGAGATTATGTGTCTTGGAAAGTCCATGGGCAGATAAGGGAAATATTAAAAAGCTTGTGACCGCAAAATCCGAAGAACTGACGATGGAGGAGTTGATGGAAGTACAGATGTAGCAACAAATGGAATTTATGCAGGAGACTGCGGAAGAGCCAAAAGCAGAGAAGGCTTATCTCTTCAACTGAGATCGAGGATGTTTTGGCAATGTGGTAAAAAATTTCAGACTTTGCTGAAAAGAAACACCCTGAAAAGGTTGCAATTGTTCATACAGAAAAACTATTTAATGACATTTGCCTAACTCATTTTAGAAATATTCTAAAAGGGAGAAAGAAACAAAGATCTTTGGACAGGTTTCTATTGAAACACCCTTCAGACAAAAGTTATGAAGGCATGGCACAAAAGAAAATAACTACCGAAGGTTTTAAATAAACTTAAACAAAAATGAGAGTGAAAAGAATTTAATATGTATGTTATACACTAATCTGATATGTATGTATCTGTATATTTTTTTAAATTACCTTTTATTAAAAAAATTTTAGGTTTTATTTTCTTTACATACACTATTTGTTCATTATAAACATAATTTTTTTACATTGAAATCATTAAACAAAAACTGGAATTTCTTTTGGAGGATGACATGAACTAATCACATTTCAATTAATTTTTATAAGGAAAATTGAGAAAACTGATTTGAGATACGAGAATTTAAAACTTACGAGCCAAGTCACGGAACAAATAAAACTCTTATCTCAAGGTATCACTGCATATTTTAATTTAAAGGGTCTACACATTGTACTCAGATTTACATACACATAAAAAAGTCTCATTAATGTTAACCTAATCAACATTCATAAAAAAACTTAGGCTGTCTCAGCCTGGATTTAATTTCAATAAGTTACACACATAGAAAATCTTCATATAATTACTGTACTCATTTTCTTATAAAACTACCTTAGTTTTTAATTTCAATATAATACAAAAATCTTTACATATGCTTTGATTTTTTTCAGTAATTCCATTACTTTTATCTGTAGGGTTCTAGTTTATACTTTACACAGGATAGAGATTACAGTTTGCAACTTACAAATGAAAATTACTTTAAACGGAAAAAATTCTGCGGAAAGTGCAGAATCACCCACTGCTTGGTGCGTTTTTAAAACTGCACAAACTCGGTATCCATGTACACATCGACCTATTTTCACTTAAAACATCCCAGAATTGCACAAAAATGGCATTGTGCACACCCTTGACTTTATCCATGTACACATCGACCTATTTTCACTTTAAAAGTCAGAGAAAATTGACAAAAATCCAATTCTTCTTACTCTTGTAAAAAGCACCAAACAAATAAGTGGGCAATTCTGTACTTTACCCAAAATTCTCTTTTAAATCTTTTTTAAGTTCTGGCAGAAAGGCCTCAAATGCCAGATTCATTTTTTGAACACATCCTATTCATCTTCCTAGCAAAATAATTTTAATATACATATATGCATTTATCAGACAGAATCCTCTACTCGAATGGAGTCTGGTTTTGTGCCAAGATTGGATGTAAATCAGAATTATGAGAAGAATATCTGGTATTCTGAAATTATATCATCGTCATGAAGATTAACACATTAAAAATACCTGATGGTAAATAATCATCTTTCCTATCAACAATATGACATAGTTGTCTGAGAACTGTGAAGTTTACGTGCACAGATAGCTTGATGCCGGCATTACGTATACAGCAGGTTTCTTGCTTACACAACAAGGTTAAAGAAAACAAGGTCCACTTATAGACAGGGTATTTTATTACACAAATACATCACATAATGCACACTTATTCTAACACACAGAATGGCTTACAGTCATATTTTAAATTCACCATCTCCTTGCCTAACCCTATGCAATCCAACTCAAACTTTAATACAGTCAAAAG